AAAGTGGGAAAAAAATACCAAAATAAATTCACAATTAAAAATCATACAAAAACAACAATTAGAAATCCAAAAGATAACAAGATTTCAGAAATGGACAGTGTCATACAAGGGCTGAGAAGCAGATTTGAAATGCTGGAAGGCAGGATCAGCGAAACTGAAGACAAATATTTGGATACAACTCTGAGGAAAAACTCAGAAGGAAGAATGAAGAAAGATGAAGAAACTCTCAGAATTATGTGGGATACAATCAAAAGCAAAAATTTATGAGTGATCAGAGTTCCAGAACGGGGAGAAAACAGAAAACACAGAGAAGATCATTGAAGAACTGCTAACAGAAAAATTCCCCAATATCATGAAAGATGAAAAGCTGAACATCCAAGATGCTCAACAAACCCCATATAGGATAGACCCCCAAAAGAAAATCACCAAGGCATATCACAATCACACACACCAAAACCAAAGACAAAGAAATCTGAGAGCAGCTCGAGAAAAACAAGAAGTCACATACAGAGAAGAAACAATAAGAGTAAGCTCAGGTTATTTCACAGAAACCATGCAAGCAAGGAGGCAATGGGATGACATATATAAAACCTTGAAAGAAAAAAATTGCCAGCCAAGAATAATACATCCTGCAAAACTCTCATTCAAATATGATGGTGAAATTAGGAAATTTCCAGATAAACAGAAATTAAGGGAATATGTAAAAACCAAATCAAACTTACAAGAATTATTAAAGGGAGTCCTTCGATCTGAGAAGAAACAACTTCAGCTCACAGGCTGAATCTACGACGCAGGATTGTGCCAGCCAGATACTACTAATGTAGGAAATGAACTCTCAAGGACTATCCAAAACCAAAAGAAATACAACAGGGAATCAGAGCAGTTAATCTGTAAATGGCAACAACATGAGAACAATAATTGAGGGAATAAATGGTGTAGGTATAGAACCTTCTAATGGAGAGGAAGGCAAGGCAATACCTAGTAATAATAGACTGCTTCAAACTTAGAAAGATAAGAGTAAATTTCATGGTAACTACAAAAAAAGCTAAGAAACCTACTCATAAAAATAAAGAGGAAAAACATAAAGTCTCAGCAAAAACAAAACCCACAAAAACAAAAGAAATGAAAAAAAAAATCCACAAACAAAAGTAACTCAGCACAGCAGAGTAAGAACAAAGAAAACGTCAGCACCACAAAAAAAAGCACTACAAAATGAC